GTGTCGTCGTTCCGTAGCATCGGGTGGGCGTTGCGTGTATTTAAGCTCCCGCGGCATGACGTCTCAATCCGGGTTACGGGTAGTGGAATTTCCGCTTACGTAAGTTCCGGTAACATGTAATATCGTAGTCAAAATGTTAATGCACAGGTTTTTGTTCCAGGTGAAGGAAATTCCTTTTCATAGAATTCCGGGGATGGGAATATTTACTGTAAATGTAATCTCAAGATACTCCTTGTATGAAGCTTATGTAAAACCAGTGAGTGGACATTAAAGAGAGGCAACAGAACCTCACAAGTACAGACAAATTGTCCAAAGAACCACATGACTTCACAGGATCAACCTCGATTGAAACATGGGATGATCATCTGCCTCAACCAGTTAAATAGCAAATTGTCAGAAGTGTAAAAAAATGGTAACATGCATTTAAACATCCATCCATCTCTTTTTAAATTAGGGTCTTTTAGCTGACTTTGCGCAAAACTCTGGACTGATCATCAGGCAGTCAAAGGGCACATAATGGGCAAACACAAGCTTTTACAATTTGGTCTTCAATTAGCCATGTTTCTGGGATGTGGGAACAAGCCAGAGTACCTGCAGAAAACCACGCAGCCATGAGGACAACATGCACACAGAAAAGCCAGAGCCATAATTTCAAAACGAAACCATATAACTGTGAGGCACACATTTCTCAATTGTATATGGCTAAGTATGGCAAAAAAGTAAGTCTTGAGCCTGGCTTCTGCAGCACTTTACTACACTTGTACAGCACATCATCTTTACCTCGAAGAAAGGTTTTCATAATGCCCAAGAAGTGAAACATGTGGACACAAGGCTACGGGAGACTGGCCTGCTATTTGCTTCCCCCGTCTCATTTGTCGTGCACGACAGGGCCGGGAAGGGTCATGCACACACCCGCACACACACACAGTATGCCATCAAGGAGGCATGCAGGCTCGCTGTCACCTTGCTTGGCCCTGTGTGCTGTGAGGAGACAACAAATAGGACGCCCCCCGCCCCACAGACAAACACTCGCAAACCCACTCGCGCGCGTACACACACCCACGCAAACACGCACGCGGGCACAAGCACAAGTACGCACGTAGGCTCCAGCCAGCGACCGATCAACGGCCCGCCTCCTGTCGCCGGCTCGGCCGTCACAGCTGTCCGCTACTTCCACGCTAACAGCGGCTAACGTTACCTTGATGTACGGCGACGTTGCAGCCGTGTCCATCACAGTAAACGAGCGGATTCTCAGCCCAGCCTCGCTCGTCCGAACACACGCAGCAACCACCAACCATTTCCCGCATGCTGCTTCCATATGAAGAAATGTATTTCCCCCTCCCGGCGACGGCGCAGACCTCGCTTTAGGCCTGTCAAGGGGTCGTTCCGCTCACTCGCGTCGCATTGGGCATGGTCGCGGGCCGCTTAGTCGTGCTCGGTACTGGCGCAACCTCGGCGTAAGGTTTGTGGCGGTGCCTCTGCTACGTTTTTTTTCGTGATGTCCTCCCAGTCCCCATAGAGGCGATGCAGTGCGCATGCTCACATCGAATCCTCCGGGTCGGGAGAAATGTCAGAGCAAAGGTACTGTAGCAGTAGCACGTTATTATTTTTACTCCCATGTCTCTGCTTTCACATTTCCCCCCTCCACAACCGCGATTTTACTACAATTTATCAGAACTGTCTGACGCTTTTACTGTACAAGCTAATTTTTGATCACAACATCGAAACGTGGACGGCGGCATTAAAACCGCTGGATGGGTACTTTCTGAATCACGCCACAAGGGCGCCATCCGCAGGATCTGAAAAGAACAACCAGTTAATAATCATGTTGATGTCGATGAAAAAGGTTCCCATCCCAAATTAGATTCGTTTTGTAATCATTTCCAGACAGGGACACTCACCGCCGTCATCTTTGATTTTTCGTGATTACTAATGTTGATCATAAAAATTAATTCAGACGTAAAAATGTAGACGGTAAATACCTTGCAATTATGTGATTATTGTTCAAAAGTGAGTGCTCATCCAAATTCTTTTTTTATTCTTAACTGGGGTCTGTACTTTAAGTGGCATTCTGTAAAAAATGGTAAATATATGACTGGAATATCCATCCATCCATCCATGCCAGTGGTGGGTGAGTTTTGGACCTGGGCCTTCAGTAGGTATTGATTTGTCTAATCCACCTTTTAATAACGACATAACGTCATAAGAGTATCTAAGCCCTCTCGAGAGGACTGGTACCAGAGCCAAAATTCTGCATGTAGGTGAGCCAGAATATACTGTATCTCGTCGGAACCTCTCTACCTCTTACACCAGCTCGTGCTCCTCCTGTGCCAGAGAGGTGACATTCCATGTCCCTCGAGGTAGCTTCTGCACCGGGGAATCGGCCCACCAAGGTCCCTGCCATTTGCCGTTGCGCCGCTCACAGGGCACCTGACCCCTTTGGGCTCCCACAGGTGTTGAGCCCATGGGAGGGGGGCCCCATGTTGGCTTTTCGGGCTGTACCCGGCTGGTCCCCATGGGTGCAGTTCTGGCCACCAGACGCTTGGAAATGAGCCACACCTCCAGGCCTGGCTCCACAAGGGGACCTCGGTGACGCGTGGCCAGGGAAGAGAAAATCTGGATCAATAATTTTACTCATCATTAGAGGTATCTGAGCCATGCTTTGTCAGGTCCCTCACTTTGGACCTGTTTGCAGTGGGCGACCCTGCCAGGGGCATAAAAGCCCCAGAGAACTTAGCTCCTAGGATCATTGGGACACACAAACCCCCTCCATCACGGTCAGGTGACGGTTCATAACTTATAATGAATTCTCTCTCTCTCTCTCTCTCTCTCTCTCTTCTCTCCTCTCTCTCTTCTCTCCTCTCTCTCTCTCTCTCTCTCTCTCTCTCTCTCTCTCTCTCTCTCTCTCCCCCCCTCTCTCTCCCCTCCCCTCTCTCTCTCTCTCTCTCTCTCTCTCTCTCTCTCTCTCTCTCTCTCTCTCTCTATATATATATATATACATGCATTTTAATTTCATTATTTACTTTATTTTTTAAGTAAAAACTTGTGTCACCAACCCGTTATGACCGGAAAAAGATAAGCATTGAGTTTAGAATTTATGAGATCATATCTAATCTCACATTTGGACATGAAACTGTGGTATTATTTCCCTCACAAGTGTTACTTCTCTTCAAACCCAAAGTGAGAAAAGGGAACTGCCACTGATGGATAGATAGTGCGTTGGCAGCTGGATGAAGCCAACACCCTCTTCTTGAAGGCATTGAGGTGAAACTGTCAGTACTTACATAACATTTAGCAACATCAAAATCGCCAACATACCAGTAATCATCTCTCAACATGCCTCAAAGTGATGCCACGAAAGTGGGACTGCTTCCACTAACCATAAGAAAACACAAATTCTGAAAGAAAAAAAAAGTAAATTCAAAAGTCTCATCACATTCACCAGTGTCAAAGTTAATGAAATATACTGATACTACACACCAAATGTGTTTCAGGAGTGAACAAAACACATCCTCTGAAGTGAACTGCTTGTCTCTCTAACCACAGCCTACAAAGATGAGACATGCCCTTCAATATTTTTCCTTTAGTTTGTACATGGCAAATGTTGGGTGATGAATACAACAAGGAGGAGGCATTCATGTGACAAAAATTATTAGTTTTATTCTCATCTCTTAGCAAAGGAAAAAAAAACATCAGCAGAATATATTGAGCTGTTTTGGAAAACATTTGTATGTTCAAAATGAACAGTAGCTATAGCCTGATATACAGCACAATGTATAACACCAACTTAACACTAATACATGTCTGAAACCTGCCTCTTACTGTATAATATACACTCAAAACACACCACATAGTCCATCCTTTCATTTCTAGTTCCACTAGCTACATTGAAAAGTAAATCTGCATCGTCATTTGTCACCCAATTGTGTGTGTAATGTGGGCCCCTAATGGGATGGTAGCTATTTCATTTCCAATCGGTGCTCCCCGCGGACTATGTGTGACGAGAACTCGTAACGGTCTCGACTGCGATGGCCACACACATTGCACTCAAGCGGGTTGCGGAAGCCGTGGCAGCCCATGTGGATAGTGAACATGACGTAGTCAAGAAAGATCACCTTGCAGTGGCTGCAGGAGTACAAGGCCCCAGGCATCCCCCCAGCTTCTCCGTCAGCCCGCACCACCTGCAAAGCTTCCAAGGGTGACAAGGGAACGGGCTGAGAGTGTGGGATCCCGTTCTGATGGTTCAGACCACCCAGTAAGTGGCCTAAGCTATACATGATAGGAGATCCCTGGAAGCCATCAGGGTTGAACGCATCCATGCTAGGAGGTTGCTGGGGGGTGTGAGGTAGACCTGGCAGGGGCAGGATCGTCTTGTGGCCGTTGGTGAGGCCAATAGGACTGATGTCATTGCGGTTTAACAGAACAGGGTACGGCCTTTGGGAGTGAGCCGGGTCACTGTCAGGGCCTGAACGCATTAATGGCTGCTGGCAGTGCACCTCAGGCCCTGGGGAGCATAAAGGAGGGTCCTGTTGGTGAACTGTGTTCCTGTTCAAGCTTAGGTCCAGACAGACACCATTGTCACCTAGATCAGCACCACAAAAACAAAGCATGCTCAAGTCAGGGAGGGGGAGGTATTTGTTTCACATCATGCCATACTTGGACCAAAGAAGTACATGCTGAGAGCAGCACTGCAAGCAGACATTTCTGAAAAATAAATAAATAAATAGGAAATCCTCAAGGGTTCACATGAGGTTTGAGCAGACGGGAAAGATACCCAGCGTCAGCTCAACAAAAGAGGACCTCACACAGAAAAGAGAGCACACAAGGTTCGCAGGTCAAAAGATTTAAGAATCCAGAGGAAGCAGTTGTGCTTGGAGGCATAGAGAGATAGAGAGTTGATAGGAAACAGACATCTCAGACATGGGCCTCAATTGCAGCTGTGCTACAGACAGAGAGGCACCTGCTCACGTTTTTTGCCTCCCGCCTTTTTCTCTCCCTGCGGTTGAAGTCATTACTTTGCTTTTCCCCCTGTGGTTGTCATATTGAAAGATCGCACTTCATTTGTCAAGCCGATGAAGACATTTGGAGGTGTTGTGGCCATAAACTCTCATGCACGCAGGCAGCTTTAAACTCGATTGTGCAACCCTGTGTTTTGTGCAACAAAGGAGAGCAAGCAACCCAAAACGGTTGTGTGAGTATAAACATACAAGCTTTCCAGGTCAGCCATTTACTGAAATTGTGATCATTTTATTTTCATGAATAACTCATGTGTTCCAGTTCATTTGAATCGAAATATACCAAGTTAGTAAGTCAACGCATTCATTAACTTTTTGCCCTTTGCACTGATTTACACTCATCTGTAGATGGTTACCGGTGCCCACCTATGACACAGTCGGTGCTGAGAATTGAGGGAGGCTGAGACAACTCTGTGGGGCTCCTGGCAAGACACGGAGGCCGGCAACAGACAGGCAAACAAACAAGTAGCTCAGACCAAAAAAAAAAAAAAAAAATTGAAATGCTGTAAAAGCTCACTAAAAACTACGTTTTATGGACAAAGCACATGGCTGTTAGGAACTGAAAGGGGAAATCATACAATAATAAAATAAATAATGAAACAAATAATTAAAATTGAATTCCATTAATGTGGTCCAGTCCAACCTTTGATTGATTTAACAATTGGATCACTCGATGTAGCTCATTACCCATGTCCATAAGAGTGTAGCGTAAAGGCACACATAAAAGCACAAATATCACATGACAATAGATTTTAAAAAGAGAACCTCAGAGCGTAGCGTTAAGTGTTGAAACTAATTTAAAGAAACCGGTCGGCAGGTAGACATTAAATGGAAATGTGTCATATCCATTTTTTAAAAGTCAGTCGGTGTGGACAGCATCTCACTGCAAAAATTGTATCGTTTGTTAGTTGTGAAGAGGGTACTTACCTGTAAACTTCTGCGGCATGGAACTCTTGCGTTTGGCTACATTTGTGGCGAGCCTGTCAAGTAGCAGAGCACGCTCGGTGCCCATCTGAGTCCTTGATGGGTGACTTGCGTCTGCCTCACACAATCAGAACAAGAGGCTTAGTGGTAGAATAGAGTAAGAACTAAAAGCAGGAAATGAATAAAGTTGTTTTTTTTTAAGAGACACAAAAAAATAAAATAAAATAATGAAACGTGTACAAATATCCACTTTCCTGCCTACCTTGGATGTAAAAAGTGAGCGAATCACACCTCAGCAGCTTGAGGCAAAGGAAGTACAAGATATTGATGTAAGATCAAAAGTTATTTTGACCTTACTTCCTGGTGCATGCATGCTTTACCAACGCAGGATGAGGATGTACTTCCTCACCACTAATACACTATCAGGCGTAAACGTATGACATTTGGTGACCACAGTAGGCACAAAACTGTCTGTGTGGTGCTGTGTGCTCCTATTAGAATGCAAAGGCATTTTGTTGGTTTGTGGGAGCTGCATGAAACATTTGCCCTACATAACTAGCTCCCCTGTGCGACTGCAGGGAGGGGAAGTGGTCTCTTAAGCAGCAGGTCACCACACCACAGCATACATAACCTATTTTGCTGTATTGAAGGGCCAGCACCTATAAAATGAAATAATTTACCAGCCTGTAAAAACAAGATATACAGCATAATCAATATCAGCTTTATACTAGGTGCAGTTATTGTTTGACTCAGCTAACGGCACAGCTAGTGTGTTGTCTACAGCAGGGGTCCCCAACCTTTATTGTCTCACGGACCGGTTTAATGTCAGACAATATTGTAATATCTGTTTCTTGTATTTGTGTGACGTCATAGAGAGAGGAGGAGCCAGGTTGGGGGAATATTGGCTCCGGCAGGTAGTCTGAGTGTGGAGCGCATGGGCGTGAGTTGTGGCTAACAGCAACTCCTATGAATGTGTGTGTTATTGATCTTTTTGTTAATTAAAAAAACGACAGATTACGACAGCGACTGCGTGCATCCTTCTTTCCGCATTGAAGGGCATTACAATATTTTCAGGGACCGGCCTTTAAAGGCCAGATAAATACAACAAAATAGTATGACATGACCGGCATGAAAAGTGTGGTATTTTCGAAACATAATAATAAACACAAATCATGACACGAAGAACGTCCTATCTGGCCGCAACACACTCTGGTCGCTATGGTAATGTATACACGTGCCTTCAAAATAAGATAGACCGAAAATACAACGTGCATGAAAAATATGACTCACCATCGCCGCATATTCTGCAGATTGGTCTTGGTGCGTGGGAATCTCCCGTTGTGATCAATCCGTATTTTAAATAGGACTCCTGACACTGTCTATTAAATGTAGCCTTCTTTTTCTTGAAAGTCGTAGGCTCCTCCTCTGTCTCCTGGCTGGGCCTTTCCCCTTTCCCAAAGAAACTTTCCAAAGACCTTTGTTTTTTACTCATTTTGCTAGCTCCTGGGTTTCATTTTAGAGGTAACCTATCAGGTGACTGAGAAGCGCGCCTTCACCTGCGTCAAGAGTGACATATTGTACACGGATGTAACAGAGGATCCGGTAATTTTTTTCAAAATAAAAAAAATCTTTCAGATTCAGAAATGAATAAAACGGAAGTAATGTAAGTTATGTATTTTCTCTGTGCGGCCCGGTACCAAATGACCCACAGACCGATACCGATCCGCGGCCCAGGGGTTGGGGACCTCTGGTCAACAGTGATGTGAAGTACCTTTGGATGGAGGAGAATGTCTATTGAGATGGACGATAGATGCACAATAGCTTCTCACCTTTCTCAGCAGGTGCTTTAGAGTGAACGTACACGTGGCACCTCTCTCTGTGCTCTTCGAGGGAGCTGCGCTGCTTGTAACTGCGACTGCAGAGGTTGCACTTGAAGGGCTTCTCTACTGTGGGCAGGACATTTAAACTCAGGGATGAGGGTTTTTTTCCCCCCCAACATAAACAGCACTCAAACCCAAACCGGAATAGGTCACAAATGGTATAGAAAATGGATGACTAAACAATAGAGAATATATTTGCAGAAACCAAACATTTCCTGAAAGCTGATGATGCGCAACATACCAGAAGGTGAAGCACATGAAGTGAAAGTGATAGTTTTCAGAGGTGAATGAGTTACAGTCATGTGTGATGTGTGTACAGTAATTATGCAAAGCGGGTTTTTACTGGAAAAGCTGTGCAGCCGCAGCAGAAATCATGCGTACGGGTTTAAGACAAGGCAAGACACAGGTGCATACAATGTCAGTGCACAGCATTCTCTCAACTGAGTGTGTATGTGGCTGGCTGGTACCAGAATGGGTGCGCAGGTGCCCGCTCAGGGCGTCACGTCGGCGGCAAGCATAGCTGCACATGGGACATTTGAAAGGCTTCTCCCCAGAGTGGAGTTTGATGTGGCGAAGCAGATTTCCTTTCTGAGTAAAGGAAGCTCCACACTGAGCACAGTGGAATGGTCTCTCACCTGGGAGGGATGAAAGCCATTAAATATTTTCCAGAATTTTGTGTATATTTCGTTTTTTTTTTTAACTGTGCAGAAATTTAAATGACTGTGGACCTCTATTGAATACCACACACAGGTGATTTGTTTGGAACATACTTAAGCGAAGTAACCAAACTTCTTCTGGCCAGATGGCAACACTTCACGTCTTCCTTTTATGACTGTTTATGACTTGCAAAAAAACCCTATCAATAGCCCACCATCTTTGAAAAGGGAACAAAGCACCATCCACAGTCATTGTCAGAAACTCTCAAACTGTTTTCTCACATGGCTGAATATATATATATATATATATATATATATATATATTCAGCCATGTGAGAAATATATATATACAGTGGCGGGCCCTCAGGGCCA